ACTTTGATGTTCCAAGACCTAGATTCTGGTCTCATCTCTGACATGTATTATGTGACTTTAGGCAAGTTACTAAGTCAAAGAGATTGCCTCTCAGTGCTTGCATGTAACTCTAAGAGATGGTGAGTTACAAGCTGCAGATTTACATAGGGAGAGGAGGTTTCCTTACCAGGATATCCTCACACCAATAACAAACATTAGAAATCTGGATCAAAATATAATCAAAGAGTGAAAAATAGTAAGAAGATAAATAAGAACAAAAGAAAGTTCACAAGTAGAAAAAGTTAGAATTTCTTGACCTACCTATAGTGTAAGGGGACTGATCCAGATGATCAGTTGTATGATTCTTTTTATTTTTGGTGAGGCAATTGGGGTTAAGTGACTTGCCTACAGTCACACAGCTAGTAAGTGTTATGTGTCTAGGCCAAATTTGAATTCAGGTCCTCCTGACTCCAGCACCAGTGCTCTATCCAATGCACCACCTAGCTACCCCTTTATGATTCTTTTAATCAGGTTCAACTAAAAGCATGTTTGTCTGTAATCACAATCTCTACTGTGTTAATTCAATTCATTTTAGTTTCCTAGGAAGAGATACAAAGCTTAGATTAGACACTGTCTTCATGTCAGTCTGGTAGGGGGTTTTGACATATACACAATAAATATAATAGAAAATAATGTTTTGTAGACTTGTTCAGAATGTGCAAAACAAAGTGTTATAGCTAAGGTTGTTTTTACCAATGAGGGTACAAAGGAAGACACTGCAGAGAAGGTGGCAGTTGAACTGGGTTTTAAAGGATGGGTAGAATTTCAAGCAGAATACCACTTACATAAATGTGCTAGTGATGTCATGCATTACTCAGTCTATTATGACTTTGCAAGTCCAAGTCTTTCATGACTTTGCAGGCACTCAGTTATCTACCACAGTTCCGTTTAGCCTCCCCAGACATCTTTGCTTCACCCTTTGACTCCTAAAGGAAACTGCACACATGTCTACACGTAAGGATTTTCATGTCGGTAAGACCATTCTGATCATTAATCTTTTAGTGAAATGTCAATGGCTTCTAAGAACACTCAAAAGTAATTGTTGGTAAGGTGTGGTTTCCAACGATAGAGGATCTGAGCATGGGGTATGTGATGTAATGGTAGCCAGGTATGACATCTAAACACCTAGCTTATCTCCTCATGCTTTCTTCCTTAGACAGTAAGGCTGGTCTATTATAACACAGAAGGCAGGCTTATAACCAAGTGAAAGATTAGTGCTCATCAGAGAGCAAGGGAAGAAAAAAAAAAAGAGAGACACGGTGAAGGGGAGAAAGGAAAACCATTGACATGGATCTATAACTCAAGAGATGGAGATTATAGGTACTTCCTTCTGTTTTCATCACTTCTTCAATAGTGTCAGAGGTTTTGTTGTTCACAACCTTGACACCTTCAATAAATCACTCTGATACTGGGAGGGCAGGGAGCAGGAACAGAGCTCAATCTGTTGGAGGTAAAAGAAACATGATCATAGGCAAAACCCATCAATTATCCCTCTCCATGGATGGAGGACTACCTTTAGATCAACATTAGCAGTTGTTATATTTCTCATGATGTTGGGGTGGCTCTCAAAAGGCTAGGAAAAAGAAAGAAGATGCAGTCAACACTTGGACAAGCTTTCTACTAAGTATCCTATGTTCTGCTTTTACATGTTCTCACTGAACAGGGTGTAAGTGCACTAGCCCAAGCTAGATGTTGGGAAAGTGACATTTTTAAACATGGAAAAAAAGAAACTACAATTTACCAGCAGACTGTGCTCTAGAAGAAGTCCTAGAGTAATTCACAATCAAAGAGAAGTTGTTAGGGGAGAGAAGGTGAGTAATGAGAGAACTAATAACTGTATTAACAAAGAAAACAATATCCTATTATCACCACTCAGTTTGGACACAGTGGAAATTAAGATGGTATAATTGCAAACATATTAAGAGATATAAAGGATAAATAATAATAGAATAAATGGGAATTGTAAAAAATCCACCTTTCTTCTGTTTCCCCCGTATTCTGATTTCTTTGGGAATAAAATCCTACAAAAATGCTTGTTTTAAGAGAAAATCCCCAACTCCCATTTTAATCACCTTTAACCCTGAGACAGGGGTCCTAGTCCATCACTTTGCCTGGGGAAGATATGAACCTCTTGTATTTTACTGGTCAAGGTTTCTTTTGTTAGTACTGCAAAGAATGGAAAACTTCCTTGAAAATCCTTTAAAGTAGGGCTTTCAAATTAGAATAGTTAAGAGCACTGGTTAAACTCCCAGAACTCGGTTCTAACTATCTGCTCGTGACAACATTGAAGATGTAAGAATTGAGCAGTCATATTCCTTTTGACACCCACGCCATCTCTTTTTAACAAACCACTCCCAATTTAGAAACATTCTCTACCCATCCGTCTTTTCCTGTATCCTCTTACTCCATAAAACACTATAGCCACTCTCCTCTATCACTCCCCTATTTATTTTTCTCTCTTTCTTCTTTCTCTTCTCTCTTTCCTATTAGTTCTGTTAACCTCTCCCCTCCCGTTATTTTCTATATTCATCCCACCCCCTCTCACGTTGACCCTTTTGTCCTAGTACAAAAGTGACACAAAAACCCCAAAATTTCAGAATATCCACAAATCATTTTATTAACTTGTTGATCAAACATGAAATACAAATCCTCATATAGAACCAGGCTTTTCCAGTTAATGCGTTTGGCTCACAAATCTGCTCTTTTACTGAAGTGTGGTTAATCTCTTCAAACTGTTTGTCTCAATAGTGCTCTTGATATGATTTGGCCCACTGAAGCTTCAACATTAGAGAAGAGGGAAATATTATTTTTTAGGTATGGCTAGGGTTGTCCACATTCACAGAATACATCCAGGGTCTGAAAATAGCAATTTAAATATTCTCTTCACTTCATATACTAAAGGTAAATATTGTAATTCCTTATGTTACTTACTGAGGACAAAAATTTGTCAAATATACTTCTCTAGTTATACCATGAAAAAGGCTGAATGAGTGAAAACAGTTTAGAAAAGTTGCCAAGACAAACTATTTAAAATCTTTGTGCCTTAGTTTTCCCATCAATAAAATGGGGGGGGTAGTATTAACTCCTTTCTTCCCCGCTTACAAGAGTACTGTAGGATAGTAAATGAAAGCTTTGAGTGTTTATACAAAATGACTGAGAAAAAAAAATGCAAGTGCTGGATAAATCAAATACAGCAGGAGAAGACTTTTCCTTCCCAAAGTTATACTGAATTGTATTTTTATAATGTAGGCAGAGAATGGAAAGAATCTTTTCTACGTCTTCCCATATACCATTTTTTCCTTAGAAATTCAATTGTTAGGAATTTCTCTGCTTATTCCAGTATAGCTTAGTTAATAGAGTTAATAGAGATGCCAAGATGGACTTGGCATCAAATAAGACTTAGTTTAAAATATTATGGTATCTACCTCGTAGATTTGTTGTGAGGCCCAAATAACATAAGGTAGTTAAAGCATTTTTGCAAACTTTAAGGTACTATAGAGATGCCAGTCCTTACTATTATTCTAAATGAATTCCAGCTTTTCTCAATTTGTATTCTGGCAACATAATTGCCAAGTTACTAAAAACAGAATGTTCCTTGGTTTGCCCATATGCAAAAATTCCATTTAATCCACCTTCCCTAAATTTACCCTAAATGTTTTAAAAATTGTTTCAACATAGACCATCTTATACTTTCTTTTTAGCCTTAGTAAGGTTTTTTTCCCCATTTTTTAATGATTAAACTGGCATCTTACTGTTTGTGATGGAACAGGACATTCTTCCCTTTGAAAGAGGTAAGAAATAGACTGTAGTGATAGACACCCAACTAGCAATGAATTTCTGCTTTGCAAATCAGTTGTTCTGGCCCATCTGTTTTAGGTTTGACTGAGTTGCTTTCCTTAGTCAGTCCCATACTAAATAGGTGCTTCTTTGTTGTTATATAAAAGAAATAGAATCCATTGCAATTAGTACTAAAAAAAGTAGAAATTCCTTCTATTTGTAATAGAGACATTTGGGCATTTTATCCTATTTGAAATAGTCTTACTTATAGATGTCAGACATTTACAGGAAGATTCTGTTACCATAAATGCTATTTTTCACAAAATACCACTGGTTAGAAAATGTTGATGTATGATGATCAAGTAATCTTAGTCTAGCACATACCTTTTAATGACATGTCTATAACTTAAGAGAAATTAAGATCTAAAGGTAATCAGATTGCGCATATATAACCCATATCAGATTGCTTGCCATCTTGGGGAGGGAGGAGGACAGGGAGGGGAGACAGGAGGGAGGGTGGGAGAAAAATTTGGAACTCAAAATCTTATAAAAATTGAATGTGAAAAGTATCTTTACATGTAATTGGGGAAAAATAAAATACATTTACATAAAAAAATAAAGGCAATTAGACTTTGGTTCTAAAGGAACTGCTATGAATGAACCAGTGACTTAAATGTCACAGAATTTGTTATATAATAAATGCATTAGTATGTAATCTCCTTGGGGTCATGGAGTATTTTTTTGCTTTTAAATTTTATCCCCAGCACTTAGCACAGTGCTTGGCGCTTTGTAAGGGCTTAATAAATGCTTGTTGATCAACTGATGAATGGGATCAGGTAAAGAGAGAAATTTGTCTAAAAGAGGCTGGTGTATAAGCATGGGGAAGTCAGCAACAAACTATTGTTTTATTTTGTTTAAATGCATGTATAGGAGAGAAAGAGGGGCAAGAACAGATATTAGAAGTTGTGCACTTATAAATAATGTTAGCAGTGCTAAAACTTGGAATGAGTTGAAATTGGTGAAGAATATTTAGGGCAACGAAAGAATGGCCTTTTTTCAGTACGGTGAGGCAAGAAGAAAATCAAAGAATCAATTTTTCCCAGAGTGAAAAGGATTCTGATAATGAACTATGGACTGAAGGTAGAACTACTCAGCCCTTATTTTGTGTTTGTTTTCTCCACTAGGGAGGATAATCTTTGGGCTATGGAATAGCAAAAACAAATAAAAACAAAACAAAACACATTGAAACCTAAGGTCATGGATGGCATAATAAGAAAATTGCTAGCTGGGCTCACTGATTTCAAGTGATCAGACTGAAATAAATGAAAGCAAGAGTGATGAAGGAACTGGTATATGTAATTGCTGAGCTGATCATTTTTAAACTGTGGAGAATGGGACAGACATGAATGACAGAGAGAAAGGTAAGTGTCATCCTTATTTCCAAAGGGAGGAAGAGAATAGTCTATGAACTGCAGATTGTTGAACTTCGCTCTCTCAATGATTTTATTGGCTCATGGGTTTCATCATTATGTCTATGCAGATGACTCACAGACAGCCCCATTCTCTCTTGTGCCCTTCAGTTGTACATCATCATCTGCCTAGTGAACATTTCAAACTAGATGTTCCAGAGACATGTCAAATTCAATATGTCAAAAGCAGAACTCATGATCTTTTCCCAAAACCCACCCCCTTTCCAAACTTCCCTATTACTGTTGAAGCCCCTACCATTCTTCCAATATGCCAAATTCAGTATTTTTGGCATTATTCTCAACCACTCAGTCTCAATCACCCCACATATTCAGTCAGTTACCAAATCTTTCCATTTCTACATGCACAGTATTTCTCATATCCAATTCCTCTCTTCTCAACATCCAACATCTTAATGACAGCTTTCATCATCTCTTACCTGTGCTATTACAATACCCTCTCAGTTGGTCTCCCTGCCTGAAGTCTTTTCCCACACTAACAACTGCCAAAGTGATTTTCTTTAAATGCTGATTTGGCTGTCACTCTCCTACTCAATAAACTTCAGTAGCTCCCTGTTACCTATACAATAAAATACAAACTCCTCTGTTTAGTTTTTAGAGCTTTTCACAACCTGGGCCTAACCTATCTTTGCAGTCACATTGTATATTAAGCTCCCCTCCTTCACACTGTGATCCAGCCATGCTGACCTCTCTGTTCTTTCTACTTGACACTCCATTTCATGTCTCTGGATCTTCACATAGACTGTCCTCCACTCCCAGAATTCACTGTCTCCTGACCTCCTTCATAGGATTCCTCTCTTTTTTCAAGACACAAATAAAAACCCACTTACTACATGAAGTCTTTCCTTATTGCCCCCCCATCTGCTAGTGCTATTTCTCTCTAAATACTATATTTTGCAAATACAAATGTATGTATTTATCTATTACATTAGATGGTAAGCTTCTTGGGTGTGGCAATTGAACCATCCTTTATATTTTTATGCCCTTTACTTAGCACAGTATCTGATATATAATAACAGCTTAACAAATTATTTAATTAGAGGAAAGAGAGAACAAGACACAGTGAAGGACAGACAGAAAAAGACAGAGAAACAGGCAGACAGAGCCTTGGAGGCAACTCAGAGTTGGGGACAAGAGTACATAATACGCCATCCATGACCTTAGGTTTCAATGTGTTTTGTTTTGTTTTTATTTGTTTTTGCTATTCCATAGCCCAAAGATTATCCTCCCTAGTGGAGAAAACAAACACAAAATAAGGGCTGAGTAGCTATACCTTCAGTCCATAGTTCATTATCAGAATCCTTTTCACTCTGGGAAAAATTGATCTTTGATAAACCCAGCAAAAGAAACTGAGAATGAGAAGTCAGATAGGTAGGAGGAGAGAACCAGGAGAGAGCAGTGTCACCAAAACCCAACCAAACAAACCCAACAACAGAAAGGAGAGAACATCCAAGAGGAGGTAACATTTTGAAATGCTGCATCAAGAAAGATGATTGATAATCCTGGAGAGAGCAGCTTCAGTCAAATGGTAGAGTAGAAAAGTCAAATTGCAAAAGAAATGAGTGGGAGGTAAAGCTGTGGAGGCAAGATTTGCATATGACATTTTTTAAGGAATTTGGCTATAAAAGGGAAAATGTATGGAATAAAACCTGGGAGGGATAGTAGGCTCAAGTGAAGATTTTTTTTAAGGATGATGAAGGTTTGGACATGTTAATTCAAATAGGCTTTAGGGAAGACAGCAGTAGATAAAGAGATTGATTAGAGAAAGAGTGAATAATTGAAAGGACAAGCTCACAAAGGAGAGGGGAAAGGATGATGAGATTGAGGGCTTAAGTTGAGGAATTGACCTTTAATGGCAGAAGGCTCTCCTCTTGATCAAAAATGAGAAAAAAAAAGGGAGGTAAGAAAAGGCAATAATATTCAGAAGACTTGTGCTATAGAATGAGGAGAAAAAGAAGCTTGTAACAGATGACCTCATTTGTTTTGACCAAGTATGAGGGAATCATCTCACTGCAAGGAAGTAGGAATGGTTTGGTGAAGGTGGTTTGAAGGGAAATGAGTTTTTGAACTGACAACATGAGAGAGCAAAAGTTATTAACTTAGATGGGAAAAATACATCTACTATTTCCTTCAATTACTTAAAAACATTATTCTGGAAAGGGGTCCACAAATTTCACCAGACTGCTAAAGATGTCCACAACACACAGAAAAGGTTAAGAACCTCTGTGATAAAGAGTCAATAAGAATAGAGCAGAGGAATTGCTATACGATGGTGAGAGCCCAGTTGAGAGTAGATAATATAATTTTGTAGTGGTTCCAATCAACAAGATCTTGTGACTTCTTCCAGTAGGATTTGGCACTATGCCAGTAGAAGCCGAAGAGGCTCCTACTCTGGTGGGACTAACGCCAAGTTTCTAGTTTGGAAACAGATGAGTGTTAATAGGGCAAGAAAGCAAAGAATTCAAGGATAAATGACAGCATAAGGTTGAATTGGTGAATTATAGGAATATAACTTCAAAGGGAGGAAGGCCAGAGGAGGGGTATTCAAATGAAGGCTGGATGCTCACCTGGCCATGTTGTAGAGGGGATTTCTCTTCAGGTACAAGTTGGACTAGATGTCCCTTTTACCTCTGGGACATGATAACTCTGTATTCAGTGTATACTTATATAACAGAAGGAGAAAGAGGAGGGAAAAGGGGCCGCAATAACATTTGTGAACTTTAGAGAATTGAAGCAGGACTAAGGACCTGTTACTATCTGTGGAATGGTCAGTTTTGTCAAGGTAATCAAATCCATCCAGTCTGAACCATTTCTCATCAACAATAGAGTTTGTGACAAGCTTGTAAAACAGCCCCAGTCTTATTTGATCTCTTTTAGATTTTATAATATGTTCAAGGACACAAGAACATGGAAGCTGGTGTTCAGCTCTGCTTTTGGTCCTCTGGGATACTTGCAATTTCAACAGACTATGAGCGTTATCAAAAGTCCTTGAGACAACTATCTCAGAGCTCTATAAACACATGGACAAAAAAAAAGTCAGAGAAGAAAAAAATAAACCGTTTTATAGGCGGCACAGTGTACCAGGAAGATGCTTCACAGGACCAAATATTTTTATTGGCAGCGCAGGCTAAAATTTGCCAACAAATTCTGTTAGTTGGAGAGACTACTCACTGCTAATATACTGACTGATGAAGATACAAATCAGCAATACAACAAAACTGTCACCAATGTTTGTTTTTCGTTCCGTAGTCCAGAAGCGTCAGACACTCCTATCCCCAGACTTCCAGATACAGTCTATTGCTGGGACATAAAGAAACTCCAAACCCTCTGTTCCTTTATCTTCCAGCTGTTCTTGGACCACACTGTATACTTAGCAAGAAAAAAAGATGCAGCATTTAACCATTTAGTCCCACCTTCTCCTAACCTTCCTTTTCTCTTCTGCTGCTATATCTTTTCTCCACTGCTTCACCTAAGGTTTTTCTAGGTGCCTCTCTCATCTTTATTGCCCTAGGGCAATTAGGTGGTACAGTGGATAGATCACTGGACCTGAAGGCAGTAAGACTCATCTTCCTGAGTTCAAATCAGGGCCTCAGATATTTACTAGTTGTGTGACCCTGGGCAAGTCACTTAACCTTATTTGCCTCAGTTCCTCATCTATAAAATGAGACGAAGAAGGAAATGAAAAACTGCTCAGGTATTTTTGCCAAGAAAACCCTCTAATGGGGTCACACAAAGAGTTTGACGTCACTGAACAACAACTCCTTCCTATTTCCAACCTTTTTTAAAAAATGAAAATACATTCCCTCTTTCATTCAGATAAAAGTATTTATTTATTTATTTATTATGTGGCTGATCAATAGGGACAGAAAGTTATCCAAGCTATAACATTTTCTTTTATACCTCTCTCCCCTTTCTTTATTCTCTATTGTGGGTATTTATGAACAAGAGATATTTGGGAACTAATGAGAAGCTGAACTAAGAAACAAGAGACTGTCTTTTGGGAGCCTCATAGATAGAGCATGACAGCAATGTGGCATCTAGGCTTCAGATCCACTCTCTAGAGTGGAAGTAGTGTCCAGTTTTCTTTGTCACTGGGAGCCTTGTAGACAGACGTAAGGCTTTGTGAAGAGTTTCAGCAGCAGGGCTCCAGAGTCATGCTTAACCTTGCCATAAAATCCTTGGAGTGGTTCCACAGCTTATATATAGTGAACTAAAATGAAAGAATGTTGCCAGCAAGCTGGGGAAGATGAATTTAAGTATACCTTAAAAATGCCTTGTTTGAGAAATACACACTAAAATCTTACCAAGTCAATATTGCATAAAATGTGAATACCACATACTTAGCCATATTATTGAGAATATGTAGTAATGTGGACATTGTTGGCAAATAATAAATATATGAAAGATCCATGATTTCCTTTACCTTGGTGAACTTCAAATGACTTCCTTGGTAGAAATTCCCAGCTAGGCGTAATAATAATTCTAACATAGCACCTAGAGTCAGGATCACCTGAATTCAAATTTGGACTTAACTGCGTACTAGTATATGATCCTGGGCAAGTAAGTCATTTAACCTCACTCTCCCTCAGTTCCTTCATCTGCAAAATGGGGATAAGAATAGCACCCCTTAGGGTTGTTGTGAGGATAAAATGAGATACTGTTTGTAAGGCATTTTGCAAAACTTGAGCCATCATATAAATTCTGCCTATTATTAATTTGCCTAAAGCTGAACGTCTACTAAATCCAATGGAGGTTCAGCATAGGATTACACCTTTTGAACTGGAAGGCAATGTAGAAGTACAACCTTCTCATTTTACAAATGAGAAAACTGAGATACAGAAAGAAGAAATGAGTTGCCCAGCCACACAGGTAGTTAGTAGCAGAATCTGGATTTTAACTGAGGGCCTCTGATTCCAAATCCATTATTCTTTCTA